ACGTCCACGGTTCAACTTTGGAAAGGATCATGCAGACAATGGACCCCGGACTAGGTGCGTTTCAATAAGTATTCCTACCAATATGACCATGTTGCGAAAAGAAGGTCAAACAACCTCTATATTTATCTCGGTTTTTAATTTTCTTTTTGCTTAATTGAGTCTATATAAGAGGTAGGATAGATCCGGATAGTCTTCTTGCTTTAATCTTAATGTGAGACCCTTAGATGAATGACATCCAGCTCTGATGATGTCCATTATGTGATGGACGAAAGCTCAGCCCGTTTTCACCCAATACGAGGGAGGAAATCTCGTGGACTGCATCAACCTGAACGTCAAATAAAAGTCAAACAGCAGCAATAAAACGCGATTCATCCGTCCCCTTCTGGTGAGATTGACCTATGAATCTCTTCTTTATGCACTTTCCTACGAAATGAAAGTCCCCCCACCAATGTTATCTCAGGAGATTCATCGAAACTCACTTTATCTTCGTATATACTGAGTGAATTGTAGCTACGACCTCGCCTACCTCTAGTCACCTCATCCAGCCGAATTCATTGTGGGCAAACCCCTCTATCAGTACATAAAATCACTTTAAGCGACCTAGGCTCGCTACGTTCATAGGCATGAGTTACTAAGTTAAAATGAGTAGCGTCATCGTCATTAATGGCAAGTACATATTTACTTAGTCGGCAATTCAACTTTCCATATCATTTGATTGAAACTCACTACCCAGTATCTAATCCCGTTGAGATGTGCTGGTGAACTGCTGGTGCTGCTAGAACTTCCGTATGAATGTATTTTCAGATTATCGGTATTTCTTCATTAAGGACTGTATCATATATATGAGGTGTATTTATCTTATTTCAATATGGGTGAAAATGGTAGTGGAAATTACCCACAATGATATAAGTAGAGCTGATGTTTTTCATTGAATTTCCCATGGCCTTGCTTCCCCAAAAGATGTTTCCATCCATAGTGGACTGTAGATTCCACCTCACCTATGCCTTATCAACACCCCCAGCGGATGTCGAATCATGACACAACGGCATATCATCTCAACAGCTTTGATGTGAATTTTAAGAAAAGCCAGGCATTTTCCCATATCACAATCTGTGGAGGGATTGTTTATGAAGCAAAGCTGTATTTGCTGTAGCATTCAACGACGTTACTTATTTTCGTTTATAAGTAGGCTTTCGAGACTAGCAGTAGATCTTATTTCGTTTAGGGTGATAATAAGACTGGTAGCGTTAGACTTTATTTAATAATCAATTATAGTCTTGAAAGCAACCCATACTGAAATTAATTAACGTCGTCAATTACAAGGCAAAGCAATTGTTTTCTTGATCGGCAATCCAACTCTTGTCTGCAGAGTGGAATTTTAACGAAGTCACGATACTTTCGATACGATATCGAAGCCCGTTGGGATGGAGATAAAACGTAGATAAGAAACGCTTGTGGAAGGTAGGCCTAAATGAAATTCAATGGCATCTAAATGTGGAAAATTCCAATATTAGTCAATAACACTTTCAATTAATTGCTCCAATTGATGCGCCCTAGCAACCCGCGTTAACTCGACGAGGTCTCGGAGTTGTGCTTCGGCCTGCATCGGCGGCTAAGGGAGCCAGTCAACGGCACCCATCGTGGTATCGACTCTTCTCTGGAGTCTGTCGTCATGGTTACTGTACCGGTGAGCAGCAGTTCCCGAACTTGACTCAGAACTTGCACAAAAAGAAGCTGTTTTCATTTGATTACCTCTTATTAGTCATCAAATCAGTATGATTTATAGAAGTTGTTTGACCTTGTTTTCGCAACATGGTCATACTAGTAGGAAGACTTAGAGGAACCCACCTAGTATGGAGTCCATTGACTGCATGATCATTTTCAAAGTTGAACCGTGGACGTGGTACATTCCCAAAAGTTTCGCCGGCATCGTAGTCGGCACCATACAGCAACTCGTCAAAAAGAAAAGTAAAGCCGATCCTTTGACCAAACGTCTTTCTTCCGTTATGCCCACTTTTAGAGAGAAAGTTGCCCCATAATCCAGAGCTATTGCTACAAAATAAAGAAAAATTGGGTTTCGAGGAATCTCTTGTTTCATAATTGTTGGGCTTACTTCCATTTCGAGTAAAAGTGTTGGGTGAAGAGATTCGAAGGTCTGTTCCACCAGAAGATGTTTGAGCTGACTTCCATTTCGAGTGAAAGTGTTGAGTGAAGCGATTCGACGGTCGGTTCCACCAGAAGACGACTTGAGCTTACTTCCACTTCGAGTGAAAGTGTTGGGTGAAGAGATTCGAAGGTCGGTTCCACCAGAAGACGACGGTAGCTTACTTCAATTTCGAGTGAAAGTGTTGGGTGAAGGGATTCAATGGTCAGTGCCACCAGAAGACGACGGCCTTCCATTTCGAGTGGAAGTGTTGGGTGAAGAGATTCGAAGGTCGGTTCCACCAGAAGACGACCAGCGACGGAGTTCGAGTGAAAGTGTTGCGTGAAGAGATTCGAATGTCGGTTCCACCAGAAGACGACCAGTGACGGATTCCGCTTGACCAGCTGTCGATTGGCTTTACTGGAAGATTCATGCTGACGCTGTTTCTGAGGCAATCTCCTTCGATTTTGGTGAAAACGTGCTAAGCTTTCGTTCGCCATATGACGGACATCATCAGAGCGAGGTAACATCGTCACAACACGATTCAAGCTTACGAGGCCAGATCTAGAGCATATATACCACTTTTTAGGCATTTGCCGCTTTTTCTTGACTCGTAAGCTTGAATTTTGTTGTGACGATGTTACCTCGCTCTGATGATGTCCGTCATATGATGGACAAAAT